CGGAAATAAAAAGTATTTTAATAAGCTGGCGTAAAATAACAAAACAACTTTATATATATTTATATACATGAAATCTTAAATAATGACCTTATGTGCATACATTTTTTCGAAATTAAATTATAAAATATTTAATTGAAAATATATAATATAGTTTATAAGTTATAACTTACAACTTTACCGTAAATATGATTTAACAATGTCCATATTATAAACACGTTACAAAATTATATGTCTTAATACACACATATAGTTTAGGGTGCCCGTTATTTTTGAAGAATTATATTAAAGTCGTATTGTAGTATGCACAATAATACAAGTTATTTTTTTCGGCAACTTGGACAACTTAAATTGCATACAGATCGGTAAGCATGACGATTTTGTTATATTATGTAACTATGACGTATGCCATTGCAGTACGTGTAAATACATGATTTAAATTCAGTTAAAAAATTTAAAAAAAAATATTTAACTTCACTAATTTATTAGGTATTGAGGACATTTTATATTTTTATACTTACTTAATTTTTATTAAATAAGAATCTTTTGTGGTTAATCATGATCAATAATATAATTTATGTACTTATAGCAGAGATGGGATTAAACATAAATTCGTTATTTATTGAGAAGTTTTACAATTAAAACGTAATTTAAGACCAAATAATTTGGTTTTACTTTATCCACTTCTAAATCGTTATGTAACATAAGTACGGTGGCGGATATTTATTTTATATTTGAAATTAAATAATTGTTCTTCAAGAACATACTTGTGTTTTTAGGGACCATGAAGCTATGTCCTCCTAATAAATTTGATACACACGACAATAGCATATCAACATTTTGGAGTGTCCATTCACTAAAAGACACACATTACGGTGTAATAAATGTTTAAAGCTTTTTATAAAAGTTTTTTATTTTTAAATTTAATTTTTACTTAAACATCACAAGCAAGCCGAGTTACAATATGCGTACGTGCGTATAATAGGTACTGTACGCGTTTAATTAAAAACGATTTATCAACACCTGCACGTCGTTGTAGTTTTATAGGGCACAGTATTCTAAATAATGATAATAATAACATTATTATTTATTATTATTACTATTATTGTTATCATTATTATTGTAGCGTGTTAAAATACCGTTTAAAAGATATAATGTGAACGGAATATTATTTATTACGCTGCCGAATGTCGTATGATTCTCAAATTTTGTTTATTGTATAAGAATTATTATTACCATCATTATAATAATATTGTACACACATACGTATAATGTATGTACGCGTATTATAATGATACATTGTTCGTTCTGTACCTTTGCTATACTGTATTATAATAATATAATATATGGCTTCTGCATACGTCACGAATTATAACACACGGTTTACACTATAATATTGGGTACGTCCATTAAAGACCGTTTTATTTTAGATTTTAAGCAGAACGAGTTTTGTAGATAAAAAAATTATTTCCAGTAGAAAATATGATAAATATGCTCCGATCGTCAACTTCTAGGTACTTTCTGGTAACTAATCTGTTTTAATTCGTATCTTGGTGAATAAAAATGTAGAAATATCTTAGTAACTTTTATAATCAAAAAAAAAAAAACAAAAAACAAACATTTGTTATAAATAAATATTGTTATTCAAATTAGTTCTAGATTATTTTTTAATAACCACGATTACCAAATTATTAAATAGTTTATGCTCGGATTCGTTTCTAATAGTATACAATGATTCATTATTGTTTTCAAATTTAATATATTGATTACAGTGACTTGCTCTCCCGAACCCCGCCACCAAACTAGATGCATATTATTATAATATTCACAACGACTACGAAATCCTCGCATAACTCTATTAGCGTCTTTAAACCAAACGACGACCACGAGAGTTAACCGATAATAATAACTTTTTCGATGACTGTTCAAATACCACGTGACTTCGATATGTTGGTATCTATAAAGCATAAATCCCCAGTCTTCATGACATACGGTAACGTTTCCACGGAAACGCTCATCTCTAACATCACAGAACTATTTGTACTATAATTGTACATAGTTTGGTCAAATTGTTTGAGAGGAAAGAGACTTTGTACTATTTTTTTTTCTCTAGCATACTCTTGTTATATTTTATTGAAAAGGCGGAAGTGGATATGTTATTTTTACAAATTATTTCTGAAACATATGTTCAATATTCATATAATACCTTTTATACCAATACCATTAAATTTATTATATTTAATAAATTGATTAACATTCATAAAATTATAATTTTTATAATTTATTAGTTGAGCTGAATTTAACGAACAGTATTAATCTATAACAGCCTCCTGTTTTAGTTATACGCATGACAACTTACAAACAGTGATAAACTTCCAATGATTTTTGAGATATGTAGATACATGAATTAGTTATACCTATAAAAAATTCTAAAATTGTTAGAACTGGTTCTAAAATTGTTTAACTTTTATAAAAACAAAATATTATATTTCTATCTTAATTCGTGTTTAGTCAAATAAAAAATATAATTTAAATCATCTCAAACATAGTACCTACTTTATAATATGATGAGATGTAGCATGGTAATTTAAAAAATTATCGATTAGAAAAAATGGGTTATTGACAGAGACAAACACGGAGAGAAATTCTGCACTATATCTATATATTTTATTATTTACAGTCAATCGATTTCGAGCAAATGCAAATCATTTCGACTCACTACGTCCCAGTTGGATTGGAAAGTTACTCTCGGTAAATAATTGCATTTCACGTAGATCAGGGAATAACAATATTTATTCATTTTTTTTCGGAAAATCACACGTGTGGGCGTGACCTAACGACCTATAGATATTATAATATATTTTTTTTTTTCTGTCATAATTTTATGACATTTTTTAAACAGCCGTTATTCAACGTACACAAATTTTATTTTTTCATATGTTTTTATTTAAAAATAAATATTCATCCCTAGATTTAACGGTTGATTTGGTCGAATATTATTGCGATTATTCAGATTATATTTCTGATAACTTCGTGAACGTCTGTTAAATACGTATCCATTTAAAATAATATTGGCGGAGAATGAAAGTCGTTTTTCGGACGCGAAGTTATTATCATAAATTGCTTTTAGGTTTAGTGCCGTAATACGTCTTTGATATTATTATTATTATACTCGTTCGAGCAATTCACTATTAATTCAAGGTTTAGTGTTTATTAAATCATACTTAGACGTGATTAATTTCTAATCAAGAAATAATTTTCAAATAAATTTGCATAGATTTTACCGACGTATAATTTATTATACATTGTAAGTCACTAGAACAAATTGAATAGTTAATCGTCGGAATAATTCAAATTTATGTTGTAATACATGAAAAAAATACCCACGTGCAGCACTCTTTTTTTCTGAAAATCCTGTTAAAATATGTATTTTGTCACTGTGATGTACAAGAAAAAATATGATTTTGAAAAATATTATTTTTTCCGGTCAACAATCGAGGAGCTGAGACTTTTACTTTTGTCATATCATAATAATGTTATATAATACTTACTTTAATTATATGTATTATAATGACGTGACAGGCATATGTGCTGAACGTCATCGGTTGTAACAGTGTCACTGGTATTCACAATAACAGTATATTATTAGCGCGCATGTGCTGTTATAACAATAATTAATATTAAAGAATAAAAAAAAGCTCGATTATTGGAACAAATCCAAAGCTTTATAATATTTTTTGCTCTGTTTAATTCATAAACCTACTATGTATGTCTTCCTGAAAAAATAATGCGCTCAAATAAGCTCATATTGCATGTTGTTATTCATCGATTGATCGACAAAAAATTGGAAAATATCATAAGAAAGTATTTGTCAGTAATCCGATGAAAAACGAGTGTATAGTTTTATAAGAGATACTTACGTGGTTTATTGTTTTGTTAAAATATTTTTCTCATCATATTACTTCAGAAAAAATCTAGTTGATTTGACGTTTTGTGTCATAATTATTGTCAATATAGTACACTACATGTGATTATACGCTTTTTAAGATACAATTTCAAAAAAATTAATTTTATAAATTTTATCGGAAAGCCATTGGTTATATTTATGTGTATATCACAACTACACACACAGACATAGTAATATTGTAATGTATAAGTTGTCTTGTATTTTGTGACCCACGTGACCGCGTATAATACACGTTTGTTGCGGTTTATACTTTCCTAAGAGTTAAGACTTCCGTAACCATATAATTTACCACTCCCTCCTCACAATTATATTATAATATTGTATTCTAATTGTATGAAGAAAATATTATAATATCTTAGAATATTGAATTTATTTAAAAATCAAAAATAAATCATTAGTTAAAATTGTTTTAATATCTAGTTATATATTTCTATAAGTACTTATAGAGCGATAGTGAATTTAAAAAAAATATTTTTACTTTATATTAAACAAAGACACATAGATACATAACACGCAATGTAGAATTTTAAGAACATATAAATCAATAAATATACTTTTATGGTTATAGCTAGGTACTTGAAATTTCTCCATCGAAATTATTTAAAATTCAGAACTCAATCTTAAATAATTTTTTTATGGTTTTATACAGCTCAAAAATAGTTAAAATATTTTGAAAATTATACTATGTGTAGGAAATGATAATATTTTATAAATATTTGAAGTATCTACCATTATTCGTTTTTGTATTACATCGAAAAATCAAATTTTATTTTTTCAATACTGATTTTGTGAAAAAAGTTTAATTTTGTTCGTACTAGAAATTTTTTACTTGAACTTTTCGAACTTTTAACTTAATTTATCAGTTCATTTTAATTAAGCACAAAAAAAAAGTGTGTTGTCACTGCGATATAAGGGTTATAACATATGGAATAAAAATAATATTCTAGGGTATAAAATATTTTGAAAAACATAAATTATACAACACACATTTTGGTATTGAATAGTAGTATGAATATCGAAGTTGATTTTACTTTAGATGTTTGGAATGTTCGAGTTTGAAGTATTTGATTTAGAGTGGGTACTTATTAATTTCCCACGAACTTGTTTTGAATTGTCTCACGAAGTAGAAGCGGTATCCGAAAGTTGGTTCAAGAACCCATCCTTATAATAATAATAATAATAATAATAACAATAATAAATTCTTATATTATATTATAATTATGTACCACGCTTTTGTAATTATTATTATTGTGAATTCTATTTTAAAATATATTATAATACCATATTATATTAACAGTTGTTATTGTTTTGAACAACAGGCGCAACAGGAGAAGAACACGCATGCGCCGCGCCGAACACACGCCGACCGGCCGTCGTCCGGTTGACGCGTAATCGGATCGCGGACGACGGACCGGCCACGGCGTCGGACACAATGCTGCGGCGGACGTGACCGCGGAAGGCGTCACCGCGGTGGACGCGGCGCACGCGCACGGTGTACACCAGCAATAGCGGCCGCGGTGGTGTGGCCGACGGCGTCGCGGTGGTGATCGGCAACGACACCGCGGCCGGGCCCACGTCACCGCTGCTGCAGACGGCCACGCCGCCGACGCCGCCGCTGATCGTCGGTCAAACAAACGTCACCGGCGGTGGCGGTAGCGGCGGCGGCGGCGGCGGAGGCGGTGAGGGCCCGTTGTACGACGGCTACTGGTGGTGGGCCCTGCTGGCCGTGTTCCTGGTGCTGGCCACGGCCGCCGGCAACATACTCGTGTGCCTCGCCATCGCGTGGGAACGCCGCCTGCAGAACGTCACCAATTACTTCCTCATGTCGCTGGCCGTCACCGATCTCATGGTCGCCGTGCTCGTCATGCCCGTCGGCATACTCACGCTGGTCAAAGGTACGTGGCCCACGGGCGTAATTAAACTTGTAGCATTTGGTGGGTGTGTTCGTGTGCATATAGTTACGACTTGCGATTCCGGAAAATCAAAGTTTAACGTCGAGTTTAGCAAATACGTATATCATCATTTCAAATGAAACTTACGTTTTTGAAATATTTTACGTGGTCTTATAATTCGTTTATAAAGCAACATTTTTGAACAAAAATCTAAGTTGTTTACATTTTTTTATCGTTATCGATATCGTTTTTTTTTTTTTTTAAGTGTTTTACTATTTCAAATAATAATTAGATTTTTAATTTCATATATTTGAAAACAAAAAAAAAAATAAATATTCTTATGTAATATTATATCATTTGAATTATTTTGATCGATGGAAATCAAATTTTGGACATTATGCTTGTTAGTTATAACGTTATAATATGTATTCAAAATTTTTATCGGAGTCAAATAGATGTCCAAAATTTTTTTTTTTTTTTTGGGGGGGGGAGTATATGCCTTTCTCCATGTGGTGTCATAACTGGAACGAAAATTAACCCAAAACTGATTTATTTAATCGAGGAATCTGTTTAAATCCCCAAAATTATGACAATAGATTACCGTCACTATGTTATCTATACTTCACATCATCATCATCGCAGTGTAGTTATGATATCTGCGCATAGTTCATCGTGTATATACATGAATCAAACTTAGTTTCATCAATAAAGATATACTTGAATTTTTATAAATTAACATGATATGTAAAAAAAAAACGTTTAATTTAATGTTTTATCTTTTATACACCGTAAAATCAAAAAAATACTTTTTTCAAAAACTTAGAAAGTGATTAAAAAAAAAAGTAGCTTCGTAATTACGTATTTTGTGACGTTTCAACTGTATCAAACTCAATGTAAGAAAATAAAATCTTTTCTTCACTGGTAACTACAAGAAAAAAAAACTGTATAAGAAGAAGCGGACATCAATTGTTTAAAACTTTTAAATTATAATAATAGCTTTGAAATACCTATATTATTTATCAGCCCTTCAAAAGAAAATATGGCAAATTAGATTATAAAATCGTAAAAACGGTGGCATAATCACTTCTGCTAAAAGCGTTTTCCGTCGTTTATAAAATACGCAAATGTCAATAAGTCATAAAAATTGTAAGTTGGCCAAACAAAATATTATTACATGTAACCAGCTGCAGTATGTAATTTTGGTTTCTACAAACATATTTACGTCTTCACGGTCGTCCGTGAATTATGGATCGAAGGACGCCACAGACGTGCAGTTTATTACGTGCTTTCCTATATGAGGGAAACCATTAACAAGTTCAAAAAGTTAATGTTATAACTTTTTAATGTAACAAGTTTGTTTATTTTTCCAGTTTTTCATGTAACTTCATAAAGTTATTTATTTATTTTTATTTTTTGTAAGCTTTCTAGTTGAAGTGACATTAATTTTCACCTGATTAATATCAAACTGAATAAGTATAGTATTTCCGTAATGAAAATAAATTAATGATAACCACCAAACACACCTTTTGTTCAATGTTAAAATGAATTATAACGTTTTAAGGTGAAAACTTATACTAAGTTTTAATTTTATCTAAACTCAGTTAATAATAAAAAATAGGATTAAACTCAAACTTTAGATTTATTTTGTTATTTTAGTTTTAAAGCATTGAAATTTTTCAGACTTGGAGTTGTTTTCATACAATTGAAAAGTTATCAAAAAAAGAACAAGTTAAAATTATTATAAATCATTTTTATTGTTACTATGTTTATTATTAGAATAATTAACTATTTGAGGTTTAATATCAATAGTTCATAAATGTATAAAATGTATTCTTTACTTGACAATAATGAATCCATTACGATGGATTTTAGCTTAAAATAACCGGAATAATAGGTTTTGTTTGTTGTTTAAGCAAACTTACCTCTCTTATTTTTAATTTATATCATTTTCATTGTTTACCTTTCAGACTAAAATTAAACTGTCCGTATAATAAACTGCATAAAGTACTACCTATTTAATTTCGGTTTGGTTTATGTTTCCGGATTGGTGTTATGGGTGGGGACAATGTTAGAACAAAATATAAATATAAAACTAAAGAAACTGAGTCGAGATATTATAATGATATAATATTCATTATCTAAATTTATACTATTCTTGTAAAATAGTAATAATATTATTATAAATATTATTATACACTTGATATTATTATTTTTAAAGTTTTATAGTTTTACTAAAATAATTACTATACTCAATACCATAGGTACAAATTGAGAATGGAATTTTCATTTTAAAAGAATATGCGTTTATATAATATACAAAAACAAAATATTCACAAGTTCTACAAATTTAAGTATTTAAGAGTATGGTCTTATTTATATTTATCAATTTCAAAATAAAAATAAAAACAAAATTGTGATAAATGCACAAAATACGTGGATTAGTAAATTCGATTAATAATGGTGCACATATACCTATGAAAAAATGAGTACGTCTCCGGATACAGAAATTCAGGCTGATACCCTAACACTAACACCTCATCGCAATTATTTTACTTTATACTCGTAGGTAGTATTGATGATGACAAGAAACTGAATCGTGCATTACATAATATTATGTTAAGTTTACTGCTGCAACTGTAGCAATAATAACTTTGCAAAAAACAAAGCTAACATAATGTAAATAGTATTAGGCTCACAAAGAATTCACCAATAATAATAATACTTAAACGAATTGAACATCTCTTTAGTCATACAAGTGAATAGTAGTTCAAAGTGGTATTTCTGTATTATTTTATGCAAGTTGATGCAGTATAATTTCTATCCACCCATAACAATGATAACTTGAAAAATTTCAACACATTTTTACAAGCTAAAAAAAAATCAATAAACTGAAAATATCCTGTTAGCAAATAGATTTATTTAAATTTTTTTGAATAGATGATGATGTTAAAAAAATAAAAAAAAAAAAAAAAAAATAGAAAAAAACACAATATTATTATTTATTATAATTTATAACATTAATTTTTAAATTTATAATGTTTAGCGTTTGTAATAAATATTAAGCAAGCAAGCGTGTATTATTATAACAAAATTATTTATTACTATAATTTGACGTAATTTTTAAAAAAAATAGCTTGACAAATATTGAAATACAGTTAAATTACGATGACCAATCCATGGCATAGCGATTAGCGAGAAACACCTCTGTAATAATAATTGATAATATTAATATATATCAAGGTCATAAATAACACGTTAAACAGTTAATTGTATATATGTGTTTATAATATTTTGTCGGTATTTAATAGCAATATTAACATTTAAATGTACATCGAATATTGTATCATGACTGAATAAATTAACGCATCCATAATTACATGGATGATATTGTCCACCATTTATTACGGTTCTATCCCAGTGACCCAGAGAGAAGTGTGATATTATATTGTTATTATATTTTATAATTTATACGGAATAACTTTTTTTTATTTTTAAACTTTAACTACAATTTTAATAGACACTCATGTAATATACAATGGGATTATTTTACGGGTGAATACAAATTTTCTCGAAAATTATTATTCTTTTTGAAAACAATTTTTTTTTATAAATAATTTGAAAATTTTACGAATTGCAAGGTTAATGTTAAATAATTTATATTTTTTTTATTTTTTATAGTTTTCATTTTTTTTTTTTTTAAGTTTTTACTTATTTCATATTTGAATGACAGTTAACGTTGATAATTTAATATTCTGTAAATTTAAATGCCTGTAAATTGAATTTTGAACGAGTTTGTTAACTATAATATTGAAGAAAAATAATTAAAATTTTATTTAGATAAGATATTTTTTTTTTCATATTGATTCATTGAAACGACCTTAAAGGTTTTTATCAAAGTCTTTGCATTTGGGAAAGGTAGAGTATAATATCTAGTACACTGCTACTCCCTTCTCTAAAAATATAATTTTCACTTATGTGAATGTCACTTTAAGTGAAGTGAGTTCGACGGGGCAGGGTGGAACAGTCTGAACGATGGCTGAGGGAAAGAAGACAAAGTAGTATTTTTATTTACTGTGCCAAGTTCGAACCAATGACCGTGTGCATCATGGTCAGCTGTGTAACCATTGCACTCTATACTGCCCACAATCTAGATAAGATATATAAATAATAATTGTATATACGTTATTTTTAGATATAATAACGATAATCTCACTTTTATCTAGAAATATGATTTAAAAAGTAAAGTTTTATTGGATTTGAATATTACATTAATAAATAATGAAAATAAATTAAAATAATTAGGAAAAAATATAAATTTTAAGTTTTTATAGCACACATGGCTTTAGATCATTTTAATAAAGTTATACATGAGTGACTTTTAATATTATTAATTGTTAATATCTTCAAATTCAAAATTAATTACTGTAGAACTTAAAGACCTTACAATCTTAAATGTCTTCAAATCGTCCAAAATCTAAAAATTTAACACCGTCAGTATAGTATTAAATCTTGTATATGACGTATATTTAAAACATTTTAAGACGTATCAATAATTTTGTGGAATTAAAAAAAAATTATTTTTTTTTTTTTTTATTTTACACGATATATATACAATCTGTACAATTTTGCAAAAAAAAAAAAAATAATAACAAAATACGATTTGGATGATTTCTTTTTTGTAAATTCATTTTTTAATTTTTTTCCTAAAATGTACCAAATTCAAGAAATTTCGAATCACAAGTGACATCTAAATATAATTTATTAGCAGAAAATGGGTATACGTGTATCAATTTCATTATAATAGAAAAATTTTAATAAAAAAAGAATAAAAATACTTCAAAAATATCCTGTTGACACAGCTAAATTTAGTGAGGGTTAAGCGTAATAATATTAAATAGATATCGTTTTTTTGATACTTCCGTATCAATTTTCTGGTATAATATAGCACGAGATCTCCACATAACTCCAGGTTAGGATTTTACCTATGTAAAATTGATCTTCTA